TAGAGATGCCACCTCCACAGACGCAGAAAGAAGTCAGAGGATTTCTAGGACGACTCAACTACATCGCAAGGTTCATATCTCACTTAACAGCAACTTGCGAACCCATCTTTAAATTGCTCCGTAAGAACAACGATGGGGTATGGAGTGAAGATTGTCAAGCAGCATTCAATAAGATTAAGCAGTATTTGCAAGACCCTCCAGTTCTTGTGCCACCAACTCCAGGACGACCCCTTATTTTATATCTCACAGTGACTGAAGGCTCAATGGGATGTGTACTGGGGCAGCATGATGATTCAGGCAGGAAAGAACGTGCAATATATTATTTAAGTAAGAAGTTCACCGATTGCGAGACCAGATACTCTCAAGTAGAAAAAACTTGTTGTGCTCTAGCTTGGGCTACTCGACGTCTAAGACAATACATGTTGTATTATACCACATGGCTCATTTCAAAGATGGACCCCATAAAGTACATTTTTGAAAAGCCATCTCTCTTGGGTCGAATTGCAAGGTGGCAGGTTCTCTTGTCCGAATATGATATTGTCTATGTGACTCGAAAGGCTATTAAGGGGGGTGCTTTGGCTGACTACCTAGCTCAACAACCTATAAATGACTACATACCGGTGAAGTTCGATTTTCCAGATGAGTATATCTCCACCATAACCACAAGTGAGGAAAGTTTAGACCCGCAAACTTGGACCATGATGTTTGATGGTGCTTCTAACGAGTTAGGTCATGGGATAGGGGCTATTTTGATATCACCCAAAGGGGAACTATACCCTCTTACCGCTAGATTATGTTTTGACTGCACACATAATATGGCAGAGTATGAAGCATAATTTCCAATAATGCAAGGAATTTGAACAACAAATTGATGAGTGAGCTCTGTGAACACTTTAAGATCAAACATCTCAACTCAACCCCTTATCGACCTAAGATGAATGGTGCAGTAGAAGCCGCCAACAAAAACATAAAAAGAATAGTTGAAAAGATGACTGTAACTTACAGAGACTGGCATGAAATGCTTCCRTTTGCCTTACATGGTTACCGCACCTCAGTCCGTACTTCAACTGGGGCAACGCCATTTTCTTTAGTTTATGGTATGGAAGCTGTTCTCCCTATTGAAGTAGAAATTCCATCATTGAGAGTTATCATGGAAGC